CCACAATATTCAGTTCACACTGATTACTAATTTGAGTCGGACTAGAAATAAGTATATTAGCTATCACACCAATCCTAATTGAAAAAGCCAACCCCCGCTCAATCGAAGCAGCTACTAAATACTTTCTAATTCAAGCTACAGCCTCCATGCTCCTAATAATAGCCGTAATTACAGATTCAAGCTATTCCGGGCAGTGAACTGCTATAAACAAATTCAATCAAGCATCCTCGATAATAATCTTAATTGCCTTGATAATAAAACTAGGCCTCTCACCCTTTCACTTCTGAGTGCCCGAAGTCACACAAGGAGTGTCACTAACATCCGGAATATTACTCCTCACATGACAAAAATTAGCCCCTATTTCAATTCTATATCAAATTAACATAACCCTGGATCTAACACTAATAACCTTAATTGCCCTAACCTCTATTGCATTAGGTGGCTGAGGGGGACTAAACCAGACACAACTACGAAAAATCCTAGCTTACTCTTCTATTGCCCACATAGGATGGATAATCGCAATTCTAAAATATAACTCTGCTATAATAATCCTTAACCTCCTTATTTATATTATTCTAACAATTACACTGTTTTCTATATTAATCCTATTCTCAAGTACTACTATCCTAGCAATATCCAACTCATGAAAATAAAATTCCATTGGCATCATCTATGATACCCCTAATTCTACTATCCCTAGGAGGACTACCCTCACTTACAGGCTTCCTCCTAAATGAGCAATTATTCAAGAACTTATAAAAAATAATAATACACTTATCCCAATATTAATAGCTATTACAGCCCTACTTAACCTATATTTCTACATACGTCTAACCTACTCAACAACCCTTACTATATTCCCAGTCAATAATGTTACAAAAATAAAATGACAATTTGAAAACACAAAACTAATACTTATTGTACCCGCTCTAACAACCTTATCCACCCTACTTTTACCCATATCCCCTATACTCCTGCAACTAGAGTAGGAATTTAGGTTAACTAGACCAAGAGCCTTCAAAGCCCTAAGTAAGCTAATATATGCTTAATTCCTGAATCCTTCTTTCCCACTAAGGACTGCAGAGGCCTACTCCACATCAACCGAATGCAAATCAGTCACTTTATTTTAAGCTAAGTCCTTCCCACTAGATTGGTGGGCTCTAACCCCACGAAAAATTAGTTAACAGCTAAACACCCTATACAACTGGCTTCAATCTACTTCTCCCGCCGCCAAGAAAAAAAAGGCGGGAGAAGTCCCGGCAGAATTGAAGCTGCTTCTTTGAATTTGCAATTCAATATGATACTCACCTCAGAACTTGGTAAAAAGGGGGCTTCACCCCTATCTTTAGATTTACAGCCTAATGCTTTATCAGCCATTTTACCCTACCTATGTTCATTAACCGTTGATTATTCTCAACCAACCACAAAGACATCGGAACTCTATATTTATTATTTGGTGCTTGAGCCGGAATAGTAGGGACTGCCCTTAGCCTTCTTATTCGAGCAGAGCTCGGACAACCGGGAACTCTACTAGGAGATGATCAAATCTATAATGTCGTCGTCACTGCTCATGCTTTCGTAATAATTTTCTTTATAGTCATGCCTATTATAATCGGAGGTTTCGGCAATTGACTAGTGCCTCTTATAATCGGAGCCCCCGACATAGCATTCCCACGAATAAACAATATAAGCTTCTGGCTTCTGCCACCTTCTTTCCTTTTATTACTAGCCTCCTCAATAGTAGAAGTGGGCGCAGGAACTGGTTGAACCGTGTACCCTCCTCTAGCGGGAAACTTGGCCCACGCAGGAGCTTCTGTAGATCTTACTATTTTCTCTCTTCACTTAGCAGGAGTGTCCTCTATTTTAGGCGCTATTAATTTTATCACTACCATTATCAATATAAAACCTCCCGCTATATCACAGTACCAGACCCCCCTATTTGTATGATCTGTCCTCATTACTGCAGTTCTGCTGTTACTATCTCTCCCAGTCCTAGCAGCAGGAATTACCATGCTTCTAACTGATCGAACTCTTAACACAACCTTCTTTGACCCCGCTGGCGGAGGAGATCCTATTCTCTACCAACACTTATTTTGATTCTTCGGTCATCCTGAAGTCTATATTCTTATTCTACCTGGCTTTGGTATAATTTCCCATATTGTAACCTACTATTCTGGGAAGAAAGAACCATTTGGCTATATAGGAATAGTTTGAGCAATAATATCCATCGGATTTCTAGGCTTTATTGTCTGAGCCCATCATATGTTCACAGTAGGAATGGATGTAGACACTCGAGCATACTTCACATCCGCTACCATAATTATTGCTATTCCAACTGGCGTAAAAGTATTTAGCTGATTAGCCACCCTACACGGAGGTAACATCAAATGATCCCCCGCCATATTATGAGCCCTAGGCTTCATTTTTCTATTCACCGTCGGGGGTCTAACCGGGATTGTCCTTGCCAACTCCTCACTTGACATCGTCCTCCATGACACCTATTATGTAGTAGCACACTTTCACTATGTCCTGTCTATAGGTGCAGTCTTTGCAATTATAGGAGGCTTTGTCCACTGATTCCCCTTATTTTCAGGAAACCAGGAACAATTTTCTTACACAAACAGAGAAAATGAGATAATCGTGTAGAGGAAACTTTATTTATTTATATTTTTGGGGGGTTGGAATCTCACTCTGTTGCCCAGACTGAAGTGCAGTGGCCACTCTCGGACACTGCAGCCTCCACCTGCTGGGCTCCAGTGATCCTCCCACCTCAGCCTTCCATGTAGCTGGAATTACAGGAAAACAAGTTCAGGTAATTGATTCATCTCAGGTTCCCAAAGTGCAGGAACACAGGCAGAGCCACTGAGCCTGGCATAAAGGAAACTTTAATTCCTCTTTTAGAAAGCATATGCATCAAAATACTTATGAACAATTTTCTTTCTTTAAATTGACTCTGGCCCAGGATCATATCACAGTTCTAAAACTGCTAACCCGTCCTAGCTTTTCTTGTCTCTACAGAGGGGTCTGCAGCCACCTAGGTAAGTTTATATCCCTTCCAATTAAAGTAAAGCTTATCTATCAGGTCCCTGTTTGGGTGCCACTTGCCAGAGTCCAGGTCCAGCAGGTCAAGGTTTCCTGAAGGAGGAACGGCATCGACGTAGGAGAAAACTTGGACACTGATTTTCTTGTTATGCAGGACAGATGCCCTTTTATTTTTCTTTTCAAGTTCTTTTTATACTTTTAGCTACATACAGTTTTGCCTTCAAACCCAGACATATGTATTTTGTTTTGATCATTGTCCTAAACGTGTTGAAATACTGTCTGTCTTCCCTCAAATTTGTGACAATGTATCCACCAAAAGAATCTTTAAAGAATGTAAGTTTTTCACAGCGTGTTTTCTCAAACTATTAACCTTAAACATCTAAACTTTTAACAACTTAATGCCTAACTTATGTTTTCATAACATTTTATTTTTTAAAATACAATTACAAAACCTTCTCTACTATTTCACAGTCACCACTACCACCACAACCCCTGCCACCTAGCATGAGGAGTCACCCTCAGGGATGGGAGAGGAAAAGGCACTTTCTGGCCTGTCATTAATGGGAGTTTTCAAAGGTGGACACCGGGCACATCGATACCACACCTTGGGCCACGAGCCCCAGAAGGCCTGCCTCCACCCTCCACATACGGGCCCACACCAAAGATGTGTGTGAGCTCATGAAACAGATGATCCCAAGCTAGGGCATTCATCATGCACAGAGTGATCAAGGTGGCTCATCAATGCCATGGCCAGAACAGGTTCTGGTCACCTGGTCTGCCACCTTCGGGAGGGCATCAGTCCCTTCCTCTCCTGATCACCCCATCGTACATCGCCCATGATGCCCATCATGGATGCCTGTCATGGCGCACGTGGGACGTGTCTTTTTTGTCTCTGTAGTCTCCAACAGCCAGGCTGGGGAATGGCAGCCATTGTGCGTGTTGGGGCTGTAAGGTGCTGAGCTTGGGAGACCCGCATATGTGGGGGGGAGGGAGGAAGGACTGAGGGCAGAAAGTTTTCAGGTGAAAGAATTTCTGTGTTGACTTACATTTTCTTTATGTCTTTCTTTCTTTCCTTTCTTTCTTTTTTCTTCCTTTCTTCCTTTCTTCATTTGTTTTCTTTTCTTTCCTCACG